GAGGCGCCGGCGCCGGCCCCGGCCGCCGCGGCCAGCTGCTGCGCCCCGCGCGCGTAGCCATCGAAGCCGCCCTGGAGCTGGTGGCTGTTGCTGATGAGCGCCTCGACCGCGTCCTCGGGGCTGAAGCCCAGCGCCTCGGGGTTGAGCTGCTGCGGGTAGCCGGTCATCCAGTAGTAGTCTTCCAGGTGCGCCTTCTGCTCGCTGCCCGAGCCCGGGCTGGGCGCCGAGAAGCTGGGGGAAGGGGGCACGGAGCTGCAGGGCGTGCTCATGGGGGTGGAGGACAGCGAGCCCCCGGCGATGAGACGGCCGCACTGGCTGATGATGCGGTCGGTCTCCACCGGTTCCTTTTTCACCTCGAACTTCATCAGATCGAAGTCATTAACATATTCCATGGCCAGGGGACTGGTGGGCAGGTCGGAGTTGTTCATGGCCAGTTCTGATGCCATTCTCCTGCCGCCGCCGCCGCCGCCGCCGCCGCTCCGCCAGATGGGCTGCAGGAGAGGGGCCAGCGGGCTGTGCTGGGTGGCCAGCGGGTGAGCCAGCTTGCCGGGCTGGGGCGCTTCTAGCTGGCGCGGCGGTGGCTGTGGCCCGAAAGCTCGGAGCGCGCACACACCCCCCGCCCTGCCCGCAGCCCCCCGCGCCCGCCCTCCCTCCCCGCTCTCACGCCGATGTACTCTCTCTTTCTCTCTCTCTCCTCTCTGTCTCGCTGCTCGCCCCGGCCCCCTCCTCGCCTGCTCGGATCCCGGGCGCTTCAAGCTCGGGAAGGTCCTCCGCGGCTGGCGGTGGCGGTGGCGGTGGGGATGACAGAGGCTGCGGAGATGATGACGGTGGAGATGCCGGAGGAGCCCGGCCCGGTGCGCGGCGTCCCCGGCTCGCCGCTCCGCTGCGCGCTTTGCATAGGGAGGGCTCGCCTAGGCCGGCCCGGCTGCAGGCAGGGCGCGCGCGGTGGCCGCTCCGGGGCTGGGTGGCGCGGCGGGTGACTGTCCCGGAGACGCGGGCCTCGGCAGCGGGGAGGTCAACACTTCATGCTTCTCGCGTCTTCTGCCTGGCGCTTATAATTACTATTATTATTTTTTTCCCCTTCTTTGCTCTCTGGATCCCTCGCGTGCGCGCGCTCTCTCTCTCTCTCTCTCTCTCTCCCTCGGTGCAAAGTGCAAGACCGAGGTGCCGGCCGGCTGGAGGCAAGGGAGGGGGAGTTTAGTTCTGTCTTGCTTTTTTTTTTTTTCTCTTTATAAAAAGCAAAATTACGAAGTCCTGGGGAAAAGGCCGAGAGCTGAAGGATGTTGGGGGGCGGGGGGAGGCCGACGGACCCGGAGCCCGAACCACAGCTCCAAGATGAAAAAAGATTTTAAAGCCTCTGATCCAGCGAGAAGAGTTTAAAGCAATTGCTGAGTTTTATAGCGCTCGTGACGTCAGGCTCAAATGGGAAATTGACTGGCACTCTCCGCCAATGGGAGGCGGCGAGAGCGGCCGCGATTAGCATAATAGTGTAGAAACAAGGAAACTTTTCCGAGCTGTCAATCAGGGCCCAATCAGCTGACTGTCAGCTGGGACCGGCTGGTTTAACCCTTGCACCGCCGCAGCTCCCGGGGACCGGGTGAGCGAAGCCCCCTGTGCAAAGTTTAGCGCATCAGGGCAAGGAGTTTGCCGGAAGGGCGGCTAGAAGCCGGGAGTACCCGGGAGCACAGAGTGCCTAGCAGAAGCTTTGTCCTTGACCATAAAATCTTTCAAAATTCATTCTCTCTCTCTCTCTCTCTCTCTCTCTCTCTCTCTCTCTCTCTCTCTCCACCTTCTCTCTGCCTGGTTCTCGGGTCCTCCGGGAGCCCCGCACCCGGGCTGGTGCATTCCCCGTGCAGGTTTCCCTTCTTGCACTTTCCGCATCCCCAGTGGATGCCCGGGGCGAGGAACTTGGTTTCCTGAGTCTGGTGTGCCCGGGGTTCAAACTTGGCCCAACTCTTTGTCCCACTCCCAGGGCTGCGCTCCTGCCCAGGCTCCGGGGGTGCGGGGACCCGGAATGCGCGCGGGACGCAGTGCGCCTCTCTGCTCCTGCCCTGCTCGCTCAGATTCCGCGGAAAAGAAAGCCGGATTCTCTTGTAAAGGAGGGGACCTCAGTCGTTTGGGGTCATTCAGTGTGGGGACTAGCTGCCCGCTGGCTACGCGTGCCCTTGGAGGGAGCGAGAGAGCGGGCTGTGCTAGAGGGTGAATTCCGGGCCGCCCTGAGCCGGCTCAGCCTGCTTCACCCTCCAGACTCAGGATGGAGAGT